GTCGCAGCTTCGCGAGTGATTTGTTTTTTAGATTTTCAAAGTGATTGCGGTTATCCCAGTCGGAAACGCAGTCATCGTCATTGCGCCAACTCGAAAGGCAACAACAACAACAACAACAACAACAACAACAACAATAGTGAATTGAAATTGAAAACGAAATGTAGTAGAAGACGACGACGAAGCAGTAGCAGCAGATTGAAGGCAGAGAAAAAATCAGCGCACATTCCAAGTACACACAAAATGTGTAACGCAATCAAATCCATCGTTTCCGGTTTAAGACGCAATTAACCGACTGCGGATTACGTAGATGCCCAGACACCATTCACCTTGCCAGAAAACTCATCTCAACTCATCCCAAGATCTGGCCATGTCTGGTCATTGTATATATACATATATGTATATATATACATGGATATATATACATATATGTCTCTCTATATGAACGTCATGGCCAACAGTTTTGCAGTTTATTCACAACATTTCACTTATTTCTGTAATTTCAGTTGTATATTTTTCTCTCTCTCTCTTCCACTGTCTCTCCATCTCTCTCTCTCTGTCTTGGCTCTTGTAATTGGCATTTTGAATGTTGCAGACGCACAAATTTTGTTCGATAGTTAAATTGATGAAATGTCATAATTTTTGGTGCGTGTGAGTTTTTTTTTTTTTTCTTTTTCATTATTTTTTCTTACTTTTCCAGCGGCCAATCGCTTAGAAAGTTACTCGAATTTCATAGTCATAACAATTGGCCATGAAATTTGATGGGTTGGGGCAAAAGTGCCATTCGAAGACTTTCAAGTCTTAAATTAAGAAAATACATTTTTACTTTGGAATATATGTATATATTTCTGTTTCAGAATATTGTATAAAATTGATTGATAAATTTCAAGAAAAGTTAGAATGTGGGATGAGTTTATAGTATTGAATGTGATGTCATCCAAGCTGTCAATATTCTGGTGTGATAAATGTAACTCTCTTTTAAGTGCTCACAACTCTTCTACCCTCACTTTCTACATTAATAGGTAATGAAGGATATATCTTTAAGTTGAATTTTACTATGTTAAGAATATTTCTTAACCAAATAATTATTAATATATGTGTAAATCCGTGAAGGAGAAAGTTTATCTGCAGAGATTATATTTTATTCAGATTAATTCCCTTTATAATTTATATATATTTTTTCATTTTCTTGACAAGAAATATTTCATTTTGCCGACTCTCCCACTCCTTCTCTTTAGATGCAGAGACATCACTCTGTCTAGTAGACACTTACAAGATTGGTAATGTCTTTCGGCCTGTCTCGCTCTCTATCTGTGCCTTTCTGGCAGAGTTTGCTCAGTTTCCATTTTTCGAACAATACATTATAGATCACATCTAGAAAAGGATACCAGCATCTCCAACTAGCTTGCCCTTGACCCACTGCACTTTCTGCTCTACTTACATTCAGCCCAAACCTGTTTCCATTCTATACGTTCGATTCGCATCAGTCAATCTCGTTAAGAGCAGTAGTTCGACTAATCGTCTGTACATAGATTCGCCTAATTCCTATGTTCTTTACAGCCATTCTAAACAATCTCAAACTAATTAACTTCTTAATGAAGTGTACTTCCAGCTTCCACCTTCCACCTCTGTCCAACCGTCCATTCAGTTGGGCTCAACCTGTCCGGGCAAGCCGCTCACTCAACTCAACTCATCTCAACTCATTCACTCACTAGCCTCCAAGATCGTAAAATTAATGATCTGTTTTGTAGCGCTTCTTCTACGCCCATCTGCCACTTCCACATCGAGAGTTCGACTGCCACTGCATGACTGCGACGTAGACCAATTCGAAAAGCAACACAATTTAAGACAACCATCAACTTCTATTTAAAATTAAATTAACCTGCTTAATTTGCCAGCCCCAGCCCCCAACCTCAGCCTCAGCTTCAATCCATTTGCCCCATCCCCAGCCGATGCGAGTGCTGAGACGCGCCCAAAAACATTCACTCCGAGCAAATGAAAATCGAAAGGCGCTACTAATCGCCCCGTGTGCCTATATAGATGCCTATATCCACGCACAGTCGGCTGTATCTGCATCTGTTGGATACGTCTAAACTCTGGCCTGCTCGAACATTTCGTGCATTTAACGCACAAATGACCCGTTTAGACACGGCTCTTTGAGGCCTGTTTTGTTTTTTTTTTTTTTTTGTCTCGGCTTTGATATTGGATTCAATTCGGAATGCCGACCCTTTCACCCTTCACCACGAAGGCTGCTGTGATGGCCAGCTGGCTGCCAAATTTAGCAAAATTCGATTTGATTTTGATCGCTCAATTAGCGTAAAAGTAACATGTCAAAGCTATTAATCACTTTCGAAAATACAAGATAAAAAAAAAGACGTGCAACAATAATACGAGACACAAAAAAAAAAATAAAATAAAATAATAAATAAATAA